TCGGGGGGCGGGGGCGACCCTCCCGCCCCGGGCGTGCCCGCAGTTCGTGGGTTTGCACTACAGGTTCCCCGCCTTTATCGCGCGGGGCCAGCCGGCTCCCGAAGATCGCGGGGGAGGGGTCCGCGTCGGTGAGCTGGAGCCTGGGGCCTGTCTGGGAAGGCCGGCCCTGCGTGTGCCCTCGGAACCTCCCAGGCCCGGCCCCTCCTACAAATCCATTTCCCTCATTCTGGCCCCACGCTCGCGCCCCCGTCTCCCCTCCGGCCGGCGCTCACACACTCCCGCTTCCCTCCTTGCCCCTGGAGTTCAGCCCCACCTGGACTTCCCACTCTCCCCGCCCCCCACCTTTGGCTCACTCGTTGGGTTCTTTCGTTTATTTGTAAATCCTGAAACAAGCATTTGTAAGGGGCTGCCGTGTCCATTCTCATCCTCGTGACTGTGAATACAGGCGTGAACCTGAGACGGCCCTTGGTCCTCGTCCTCTAGTTGCTCTAGAGGGGAGCACAGAGGAAGAATCCGTGTTGTGGGAGCGTCGGAGGGATGCGAGGGGCTGGTCCCTGGCCCTGGAGGACGGGGAGAGGGGAGAGGGAGGGATGTTCCAGGCGGAGGAAGGAGCTTGTAGGGAGGTGGCCAAGTCACAGGTTTTGTAGGTGCTAATAATACAATATGGCCCGAATCGCTGTGCAAGCCCCTGGAGCGACCAGAAATGAGGGTGGGAAGATGCCAAGGAGCTGACGGGTTCTGAGCAGGTGATAGCAGATTTGCATTTTAGAAGGATTCTAGGCTGGATTGTGGAGAAGAGACCGGGGGTGTGCTGGTTTGAGCAGGAAACGAGGGGGTGTTGAAGTTGGGGGAGGGGGACATGAGGGTGGTTTAGCCTGTGGGAGGGGCAGAGGATTTGAGGACTGTTGAGGCGGTAGAAGTCACAAACCTGATGATTAACTGGGGGGAGAAGATAAGGATAATACTCAGGTTACTATTTCTTGTAACTGGATAGATGGTAGCACCGTACAGAGTGATTGGAAATAAAGGGGTTACAAGAAAATTGGTGCAAATAATGTTGAGCCCTGCTTTTGACAGGCTGAAATTGTAAACTCTGAGGGATATTCAAGCCTGGGAGGTAGCTGGATCTTAGGATTTGGGTTCCAGGAGAGATTATTAACATATATGTATTAATCAAAGCCACAGAAGGAAGTTAAGATAACCCAGGGAGAGTATATGAAATGAGTTCAGACAGCTCACAGAGATGAACCCTAAAGAATGCAGGGGGAAAGTGTTTCAAGGTGACTGAAAAAAAGTAAACCAAAGAGAGAAGGAAAACAGAATGTGGTTTCGAGAAGGAGGAAGTGATCAGCAAGGTCAACTCAAACAAGGGAAAGAAATCATGACAAAGAGCAGGTCAACCCCGCCCTGCTCTACTCCCCACCTCCTGTCCTGGGGGACAAGTCTGGCAAAGTCAGAAGAGGGGGAGCTGGATTATTTTTCCCCAACATTCTATTATGAACAGTGTTAAACGTACAGAAAAATTGGATGTGCGCTACAAGGAATACATGAATACCCTCCACCTAGATCCAACCATTATGCCATATTTGTTTTATATAACCCTCTAGCCATAAATAGTTTTGGCTGAGCCATGTAAGTTGCAGACATCATGGCCCCTCAGCCCTAAATTCTTATCAGCGTCTAAAACCAGGTGAAAGTGAGTAGAGGAGCAAATAAGAGGTGAATAAATAAAACACAGCGAATGGGGAATTTGCTTCCCGGAAGTTTGTAAAGGGGAGAGAAAAAAAAAAAGAGTTGCTGGAGGAGATCATTAGTTCAAGAAGGTTTGTGTTATTTGTGTTATTTTTGTTTATTATCAGGATGGAAGAGCAAGTCTAACTGCTGGTGGGAAGGAGCCAGCAGTGTGGGGGAGGCTGAAGGGAACTGAAGCCACAGGGCCCCCTGGGTGATGGGGGGGAGGCGGAGGCATTCGGAGCTGGGTGGGAGGACCGAGCTGGCTTTGAGGAGGATTGCTGCCCAGGGGGAGGAGGGCAGGAGGAGAGGAGAGGCAGGTGTTTGGGAGGTGCAGGGGATTTTGTCTGAGGCCTTTCATTCTCTGTGAGAAGCAGGTGGCCAAGTCCTAAGAGCAGGAGAGCAAGGCTGTGGGTGGGGATTTGAGGTGCTTGGAGGGGGTCTGAAATGGAGCGAAAAGAGCCAACTACTCCTGGCAGGGTAGGGGCAACCTGGATAGGAGGGCCAGGGGTGTGAGTGAGAGAGCGGCTGGAGGCCCCAGGGGGGCCTAGGCCAGGGAGGGAGGAAGTAGAGATCAGAGAAGGCTGATAGGAAGGAAGGAATCGAGGAACTGGTTCTGGGTTCGGGTCAGAGTGGACAGGAGGTGTACTGGATTTCTGAGGAAGAGCAGTTCTGGGGAGGCAGAGGTCTAGATGTGGCCGGAGAGTGGAGGTGAGGAGGGTGTCCCTCACCTCTGTCTGGATCAGCTCTCCCCTGACCCCCTCGCCCCCTGGCCGGAGGTTGGGGTGGCTTAGTCCCCAGTCCCTACCTTCCATCCCCTCTTGAGTCCTGTCTCTGAGCAGTGAAAAGGAAACCGGAGCCTCCTTCCCTGCCAGTGTCTGGTTTCTGAGTTTCGGGGGCGGGCCATCTAGGACAGCGACAGGCATCCCCAGCTCCCCGGTCAGCTCAGTCTCATCTCAGAGCAGGACCTGGTGCCCCATGCAGCGATTCCTGCAGCTCCCGGGGGCCGTTGGGAGGCCAGGGGGCAGAGGGGCCTGTGGGGCTGACCAGGAGGCCGCCAGCCCCGTGCTGGCCCCTGAAGGCGGGCCCCCACCCTGGTACCAGGCCTTACAGCCTGAGGAGCTGCGGTGGCTGCAGGCCCCGGAGGAAGACACATCCCCTGAAGCGTCCCTGGAAGGACCTTGCCCAGAGCCTGGCCAGAGCCAGAGCCAGAGCCAGCCGCTAAGGTACAGAGGAACTCCCAGGGACCCTCACCCCAATGCCGGGAAGACAAGCAGTGGGCGGCGGCTGCCCTCAGCTCAGGCTCTTCCAAGTCCCAGCTCCTCAGGAGGGGGATGAGGCTGGGATTTAGGGTGTGGGGGGCGGGTCAGGGGCACAGTGTGGGGGCTGAGGGTATGAGGGGGGTGAACTTAACTCCAGCAGCTCTCTGGGGAGGACGATAGTGTTGTGGTCCCACCTTGACCTTCCCCCCTCCCGGGTCCTGGCTAAAGTGGGCTCTGGGGGAGGTTGGGAGACGGGCAAAGGCGCAGAGTTTGGGATTCTGGTGGCAAGGAGAGGGAGGTGAGCACGTCTGGCCTCAGTGGCGCATTCTGCGCCCTGGCTGGCCCGCTGGACAGGCCCTCAGGCCGGGCCAGGGGTCAGAGTGAATGCGGTGTAAGGCGATCTGACCACGGGAGGCTAGTGTTTCCTGGCTTTGGGGCGTCGCTGTGTACCCCTTGCTTCCTCTCGCTCTTGGGCACACAAGCTGGTGCTGTGAAGACGTGGGACCCGGGGCGGCATTTAACAAGCCCGCCTGGGCTCTGCGTGCTATATACCCACAGTCCCTCCGCTCTCTCGGGTCCCCTGTGCTGGAGCCCAGAGCCCGCAGGGCCGGGGAGGGGGGGGTCGTGTGGGCGCTGCCGCGATGCCCCGGTGCGCGTGCATTTGACAAGGGCCTGTGGCATTTCTAGGAGTGGTGAGGGCAGCCGGGTGTGAGGAAGTGTGCTTTAGAGAACACCCAGAGTTAAAGAGGCCGGGCGAACTCCGACTGCTCCCGGTGAGGTCACCACAGGCTGACCCCTCAGAGGGAGGCCGGAGGATCCATGAGGCTGCGCGTGTTTGATCCTAGAAGCCTAAGTCCATCCTCCGGAATCTCAACTAGGAGCCCACGGGGCACTGGGGAATGAGACAGAGTGCCAGTCTAGTCCCAAGGGTGTGTGTGTACGTGGTGCATGTTGGGGGGGAGTGTGCGTGGGGGGGGGTGCACTGCGTGGCTTGTGCGTGTCCAGATGAGGGCGTGGAGGAGAACGGAGGGGTCTGGTGGGGATGTGTGTGGGTCTGCGGGCGTCTAGGGGTGTGTAGGTGAGGTGTGTGCTGGTGGATATGTGGGCGTAGGCGTGGAGAGTGTGTTTGTGGGAAGTGTCTGAATGTGAGGTATGTGTCTGTGACTGTTGGTTTCTCTGGGGGCGGTGGGTGTGTGTCTGCAGGGGGCATGTGTGGGCGTGTGTGGGTTTATATATGAATCGTGTGTGTCTGGGGGTGCGAATGTGTCTGGGGTGGTGGATATATCTATGCGGTGTGTCTGTGGGGGTGTGGGGATGTGGGGATCTGAGGATGTCTGGGGCACAGGTGTGTCTGGGGGGGAACAGGTGTGTCTGGGGGTGTGGGTACGTCTGTGGGGCTGTCTGGGGCGCAGGTGAGTCTGCAGGGGACATACAGGAGTGTCTGTGGCATGTGTGGATGGCGATGGTGTTGGTGGGGGTGTTGGGGTGTGTAGGTGAGTTGACCGTGAGGTGTATGTGTGGAGGAACCCGGCAGTTCAGCGGTGTGCGTTTGTCCACTGGGGATGGTGGTGCCCGGCTTTCATTCTCCTCGCAGCCCTGGTGCTGCCCAGGCCCGGCTGCATGGTCTGTCCCTCTTTCTATACCCCCGTTGTCCTGAGCTCTGCCCCTTAGGAATTGACCACCTGATTTGTGTTTGGGAGAGTGAGAGGATCCTCTGATTTGGGGGGCATCCCTCAAGTGAGAGAATTTTAGATCAACATGGCTGGGGCTGGACATCTTCTGCCTTCTTGTGACAGCTAGCAAGTCCTCTGTGTTCTGGAAAACATCATCTTTCTACTTCGCTTTCCATCAGAAAATCTGTTCAGGAAAGACACTTCCTAAATCCCTCGGAACATCCATTTCTTAGCACCGCTTCCATCCTTTCTGAATGTATGTAGGCACTCAGGCATTTGTGCAGAATGCAGCCCGAGGACTAGGCATGTGTCATGTCGGTTTTTCTCCTCCTCTGAGCTTTCGTCGCTTACTCATCTCTCAGCATCAGCCTCCCATTTGCCCGTCTGTGACTACCATCACGCTCTTCCCTGCTATCACTGCTCCCTCTCATTTCTGATTTTCTATTGTTTCTAAATGTTTCACTGCTTTTTAATTTCTACCATTGGTGATACCTTTCTAGACTGGGTTCTCCTGCCTGGGTCGAAAGCTGTGGGTTATCAGAGTATCATCTGGGAGATGAGAGAACTGTGCAGGACCCCACACATAGCTGCTCACCACATTTTGGAACCATTTTGGCAATACATGAGCACATCAGTTGTCCCACAGCTGTATCAGCTGTGTATGGACACATTTTTTCTATGAGTTTATTCATAGTTCTCTGTTCACTTCTTTGACCACCAGCCCTTAGACCTCTGAGTATGGTTGGGCAGGTTGTTCACTGCAGAAGGGTACCTGGCCAAAGAATACCAGACTATATTCCACTCATGGAATGGGGAGCAACAGCTCAGGGCTATGTCTACTTGGAGGGGCAAGCAGATGGTGGATATGCCTGCAGCAGCCCTGACAGTGAATGCTGGATATAAACCTTAAATTGATATCAGTACTTTATTTTGAATATTAAATTTTTATTTGCCATATCCCCAATATTTTCCTTTCTGTTGCTATTATAGGCTGGATTGTGTCCCCTTCAAATTCCTATGTGGAAGTCCTAACCCCCATTACCTCAGAATATGATTGTATTTGGAGAAGGGGTCTTTAAAGAGGTGATTATGTTAAAATGAGGTCATTAGGGCCCTAAAGCAGTCTGACTGGTGTCCTTATAAGAAGAGGAAATTTGGACACAGGATGCACAGGGGGAAGACCATGTGCAGATAAAGGAAGACAGCCGTCTACAAGCCAAGGACAGAGGCCTCAGAAGAAACCATGCCCGCTGACACCATCTCTAAAACTGTGAGAAAATAAATTTAGGTTGTTTAAGCCACCCGATGTGTGGTACTTTGTTACGGCAGCCCTAGCAAACAAATACACTTGCCCTATTTGTTTCTTCCTTAAATTTAGTTTTATATACCAAAGTTATTTAAAAAAAAATTAAACCTTAGCCATCTGGTTACTGATAATTTTATGACCTTGAAAATAAAAATTTCCCCTTCCACTTCCATATTTAAAAATCATTTCACGATTAATTGCAAAAGGGGGGTTTATTTTGGTCCGAGACACGTGTACAAGTTCAATCCTTTGCTGCCGAGGACGTGTCCCAGCCGCGTTTATGCACAGGAAGAAAGGGTTCTTCCTTCTAAGAAAGGGTTCGTCCTTCCGCTAGCGAGTTACTTGTTCCTAATGTATCAGTTTAGATCCATTTATAAAATTGCCCCCTGTGACCTCTGACTTTCTATTTTTAACCTGGTACCAGGGAGTTTTTGTCATTGCCTGTTTGGTGTTTGGAGCTCCTAGAGGGTAAGTTGTCTGTCATTGCTCCATTGTTCTCTTCTTTCCCCAAACTATTCTCTGGAGTTCTTAACCTATTCATTTTTTTTTTTTTCTCCAGGCAAATTTTGCTGCCACTTTAGGAAGTCTGACAAAATGCCTTCATTGAAATTTCATTGGACATTGCATGAAATTTATGTATTGGCCTGAGGACTACCTCTCCTCCCTTCAGCTGTGTGCAGGGGGTCATGTATTCAAATCTTCATTTATTTCTCCCAGGAGGGTTTTATAACTTCCTGGAATCACTGTTGAATGTTAAGTGATAACTCTGGCTTTTGTGCTGAGGCCAAAATCTCAATAGATTCTGGAGCGCCTGGGACCCCTCCAGTCCTTGGAGTTAGATCAGTCTGTGGAGTCCGGGCCTGGGAACACACCTGGGCTGGGGCAAGGACATCCTGCTCCTCTTTGGACACCGACACCTTTCCACTGGATCCAGATCCTTCCCATCTCTCCAACTGGCCATTTTCTGGGCGGGGTCCATACCTTTCCCACCCCAAACCTTTCCTCGTGGCTTCTGGCTCTAGGTCCCCAGCTGTATGGGTTTCCTAGGGCCACTGTAACAAAGTACAGCTGAACCACAGAGCGGGTGGTTTAGGACGACAAAGGTATTGTGTCACAGAGCCAGAGGCTAGAAGTCCAAAATCAAGGTGTCGGCAGGGCCATGCTCCCTCTGCAACCTGTCGGGGGATCCTTCCTCACCCCTTCCTGGCTTCTGGTGGCTTCCTGGCAATCCCTGGTGTTCCTTGACTTGTAGCTGGCTCACTCCAATCCTCTGTCTTCACCTGGCATTCTCCCTGTGTCTCTCTCCACATCGCTGTCTTCTTAGAACACCAGAAATACTGTGTCAGCCTTACTCCAGTGTGAATTCCTCCTAATTACAGCTGCCGCAACTCAGTTTCCAGAGGGCCACATTCTGGGGTTCTAGGGGTTAGGACTTCAACGTTATCTTTTTTGAGGGGGACCCAATTCAACCTGTACCATGGGCTGGCCCACGTTTCTCCTGACCCCCAGTCCCCTGCCCATGTCGCTGTTTTCTGCCTGGATCCTCCTGACGGATACCCCCACCCCCACCCTCGTCCCCTCTGCTGACCTCCTCTGTCTCCCCGACCCACCAGGCATGACGACCTGAAGGAGATGCTAGACACCAACAAGGATTCCCTCAAGCTGGAGGCCATGAAGAGGATTGTGGCCGTGAGTGGGGAAGGGGGTCCTCGGGGTGGAGGCCTGGTGGGCAGGGATCAAAGAGCAGCTCTCCTTGGCTCCTTGTGGACCTTCCCCTAATAAGTGTGGGCCTCCTCCCTCTTCCTCCCCCTCCCTTGACCCCCCCACCCAGATGATCGCCCGGGGAAAGAATGCCTCAGACCTGTTTCCTGCTGTGGTGAAGAACGTGGCCTGCAAGAACATAGAGGTGAGCACCCCCCAGGGAGGGATCTCCCATGCCCACCTCCATCAGGAATAAACTCCCGCTGCTTGGGGTGAGGAAGAGAACAATCGAGCCCCCGGGGGCCTGACTTGCTCAGAATGCCCTCGGTTCGGGAGAAGACACTGTTTGTATGTCCCTGAACCAGACGTGGGTCCGACTGAAGGACCCGGGGCACAGTGGGGACGCTCTCCCCGCACTGGAAGCATCTGTCCGCGCGACCACAGCTGGCCAGGCGACCACATCTCGTGGGGGGGCCGCCAGTCCCGCTGAGAAACCCGCTCTCCGCAGGTGAAGAAGCTTGTCTACGTGTACCTGGTGCGCTACGCCGAAGAGCAACAGGACCTGGCCCTGCTGTCCATCTCCACCTTCCAACGGGGCCTCAAGGTCAGAGGTCGCAGTTTGCCTCCCTGGCGCCCGGGGCTTGTGGACGCTGGCTTGGAGCCGCAGGCCCAGGGAGAGGCCGGTGCCTGGGGGAACAGCCTGGAGGCCCGTTCCTACCTGCCTAGCGTGGGGAGGGTCCGCATCAGAGAAGAGCACCAGCGGGACCCTCAGAGGGTGGAGGCCAGCTCAGAAGGGGCATGAGACATGGAGTGGGGGCCCAGGGACCATGTCCCTCCTCCTCTGAGGAGCCTGGGGCAATGGCTGCCGCAAACAGGAGCCACTCGAGCCCCTGAACGTGGAGAGCCCTGGGCTCCCTCACCCACTGGTGTAAAGGAACGGTGGCCCACAGCCAGGCAGAAGTCCACCTCCTTAAGACAGGACTCTGAGGGCGCGCTGACCTGGTTCCTCGCCTCTGCGGGTCACAGCCTTGGCTCCGGCTGGGGCTCCTAGTCTGGGTTTCTGTGGAGAACAATGACTTTGGAACTTGGTACGGAGGACAAAAGCGTTTGTTGAAAACAAATGAGCTCTACCCAGAGGAAAACAACAAAGTTTACCCTGTAGGAGAGCTGCCTCAGACACGGGGTTTGGGTTCAAAAGTCAGCGCAGACGCCATAGCCATAAACACACGACTGTCCATTTCCAGTGAGTTCAGTACAACAGGTCATTCCTCTAGAGTTGAAACAAGGTGATCGTTCTTCTTCTTTCTTCTTTTTTAAAAATTTATTTATTTTTTAGAGAGATAGAGAGCGTGAGCGGGAGGGGCAGAGGGAGAGGGAGAGAGCATCTCCAGCAGACTCCCCGCTGAGCAGGGAGCCCAGTGCGGGGCTTGATTCCAGGACCCTGAGATTATGATCTGAGCAGAAACCAAGAGTCGAGGCTTAACTTACTGTGCCACCCAGGCGCCCCAAGGTTGATAGTTCCTCGGTTTAGCACCAGAAGTAGTTGACTTGTCTTAGATGCCCCAGTGAATGCAAAATACCCACTTTTAGAGACTGGATCACGTCTGTTGTACTGAAAGGCTCTTGGAGGCATGTAGAAATTGAAATCACCTGGGGGCGCCTGGGTGGCTCAGTCAGTTGAGCTTCTGACTCTTTTTTTTTTTTTTTTTTT